AATAACCAATTTAAAATGGAAAATTTTAAAGAAAAAAAAGGAAAACCCCCCTTCCCCAAATTTTTTGAACCCCCTTATGATTCATCACCCCTAAACTCAATTTCAGCCTTCCCTTTGTGGTATGGTACCTTGCAGTACAATTTAAGAGAGATCCATACACTTGAACACAAGTTATTGTCTGGAAACTAGAAAAATGCTTGTTTTTTGGCCCCTTTTTGGCCCCAAATTCCTAACTGTTTAGGGCAATTACCCCCAAACTCAGCTTTCCCTTTGTGATATGGAACCTTGTAGTTCAATTTCATAAAAATCCATACACTTACACACAAGTTATTGTCCTGAAACTAGAAAAAATGCTCTTTTTTTTTTTGCCCCTTTTTAGCCCCTAATTCCTAACATTTTGAGGCAATTACCCCCAAAATCAATCCCAGCCTTCCCTTTGTGGTATGGTACCTTGCAGTACAATTTCTCAGAGATCCATACACTTGAACACAAGTTATTGTCTGGAAACTAGAAAAATGCTTATTTTTGGCCCCTTTTGGCCCCTTATTCCTAAATGTTTTGGGCAATTACCCCCATGGAGCAAGTATGGACACAACATTCAAGCTTGATACAGCATTTGGATTGTAATTAAATATTTGACACAGCATAGGTTTCTGACACAGAATAAATGTGGTCTAAGAACTTAAAAAATTTTAATTTACCTATTCAAACCATATCATTATTATTTGCTTTTATATATAAATCAGAAATAACCCATTTAAAATGGACAATTTTAAAGGAAAAAAAAGGAAAAAAAAATCCCCCCAAAATTTTTGAACCCCCTTATGATTCATCACCCCCAAACTAAATCCCAGCCGTCCCTTTGTAGTATGGTACCTTGCAGTACAATTTCAAAGAGATCCATACACTTGAACACAAGTTATTGTCTGGAAACTAGAAAAATGCTTATTTTTTGGCCCCTTTTTGGCCCCAAATTCCTAACTGTTTAGGGCAATTACCCCCAAACTCAAACCCAGCTTTCCCTTTGTGATATGGAACCTTGTAGTACAATTTCATAAAGATCCATACACTTACACACAAGTTATTGTCCTGAAACTAGAAAAATGCTTGTTTTTTTGCCCCTTTTTGGCCCCTAATTCCTAACATTTTGAGGCAATTACCCCCAAACTCAATCACAACCTTCCCTTTGTGGTATGGTACCTTGCAGTACAATTTCAGAGAGATCCATACACTTGAACACAAGTGATTGTATGGAAACTAGAAAAATGCTTATTTTTGGCCCCTTCTTGGCCCCTTTTTCCTAAACGTTTTGGGCAATTACCCCCAAACTCAATTCCAGCTTTCCGTTTGTGATATGGAACCTTGTAGTATAATTTCATAAAGATCCATATACTTACACACAAGTTATTGTCATGAAACTAGAAAATGCTTGTTTTTTGCCCCTTTTTTGGCCCCTAATTCCTAAAATTTGGAAGCAATTAACCCCAAAATCAATCCCAGCATTCCCTTTGTGATATGGAACTTTGTGGTACAATGTCAGAGAGATCCATACACTAACACACAAGTTATGTCTGGAAGTTACAAAAAAGCTTATTTTTGGCCCCTTTTTGGCCCCTTAAATTCCTTAACTGTTGGTACCATAACCCCCAAAATCAATCCCAACCTTCCTTTTGTGGTATTGAACCTTATGGTAAAATTTCATAGAGATCCAAAAGTTAGAGTGCGAAAACCAATGTGTCTTCGGACGACGACGACGACACCAACGTCATACCAATATACGACCACAAAAATGTTTTTGCGGTCGTATAAAAACTGCTTCCCAGTATATCAGGTACAGATCTACATGTATAATTCATGTCGAAAATAGGTGTCTAGTATATATCACTGATGATATTGTACCATACTGTGGATATAGGGTTCAAGGTCAACAACGGGTGCCCAGTATATCACATCCACATCTTCTTTTTACATGTATACTACAGGTCAACAACTGGTGCCCAGTATATCACACCCACATCTCCTTGTACATGTAAACTACAGGTCACCAACTGGTGCCCAGAATATCACATACACATCTCCTTATATACTCATGAAGCTTAGTCCTACCAAATATCAGGAAGGTCGTTGTAGTGCCTGAGAAAAATGTGACACATTTTCCCTGGGCTTACAGATGTAAACCAGTTTCTCTAATTCTTCGTCAATTTATCCCTTTCTGCACCCATTGTATAAAAAAATTTAATCAACGTGTTGTTCGTTTGATCTCAGTTCTTCATTGGTTAAAATCCGATTATGACGTCGAATTTACTTGCTTTCCTCTGAATTTCCTATTGTGACGGCATGAAAAAAGGCGACCATGCCTGATGACGTCACATAGAAAGAACACATCTTTTACAGATCATTCGAAAAGAAGAAATAAGTTTGCCTTCATATTGTTTGAAAATCATTAGAGAAACAGATTCCACCACCAAATCTCGTGTAATACCATATTTATCCACTCTCAACAGTTAAATTTTAAATATTTAAAACGCTCGGCCAGCCTCGCGTTTTAAATTTGAAAATTTAACTGTCTCGAGTGGATAAATATCGTATCACACTCGATGCAGTGGTAGAATCTATATAACCCCTCTACTTCAAAGGAGTGTATCATAAAAGGAAATATCAGGTTAAAGTTTATGTGACAGTAATCTAACAACACAATATCAACTAAAGGACATCAAAGATTTCATTTATTTGTCAGACAGTTTATTTTATTTGTGAGCATTATCTAATGTTAAAATAAATCTATTTAACTTTTTGAAGTTAAGTTAATTCCAGAACTGAAAATACAAATGCAAAAATTCTCTCCTTGTGCTATATGACAAGTGCAGCTATATTATAGCATGGGATTGTTTCTGTCAGGTCTTAATCAAAATTTCTCTCCTTGTGCCAGATGACAAGTGCAGCTATATTATAGCATAGGATTGTTTCTGTCAGGTCTTAATAAAAAATTCTCTCCTTGTGCCATATGACAAGTGCAGCTATATTATCATGATTATAGCATAGGATTGTTTCTGCCAGGTCTTAATCAAAAATTCTCTCAATGTGCCATATGACAAGTGCAGCTATATTATAGCATGGGATTGTTTCTGCCAGGTCTTAATCAAAAATTCTCTCCTTGTGCCATATGACAAGTGCAGCTATATTATCATGATTATAGCATGGGATTGTTTCTGCCAGGTCATAATCAAAATTCTCTCCTTGTGCCATATGACAAGTGCAGCTATATTATCATGATTATAGCATGTGATTGTTTCTGCCAGGTCTTAATAAAAAATTCTCTCAATGTGCTATATGACAAGTGCAGCTATATTATAGTATGGGATTGTTTCTGCCAGGTCTTAATCAAAGTGATTCAAGTTTTCTGTGTGCTATATAAATTCATAACACAATCAACTGACAATAGCTTTTAAAATCAGTTCACAAAAATCACTTTACAAGACATAAAACCAATTTGTTATGAAGAAAATGAAACACATTGAAATCCTTTTACAATCCACTGAATTGATTTTTTAACAAGTCCATATTTAAGGAGGAATATTGAAAGTTCTCTACAAGAAATATACAATAGTTGTCTAATCTGTTGATACTGCAACAGACATTTATATCTTAAAATGTGTGAAATAAACGTTAAGTATAATATTTACATTTCACCTTAAAATTAACTAAAATCTGACATTAAACGTTAAATGAACAACTGGAAACAACTCTTTAATTGTGGCAATAATTCAATGGTATACTATTGAACAATGTTCAGAGAGGGGGTATAACTCTTTAATTGTGGCTGTCATTCAATGGTATACTATTGAACAATGCTCAGAGAGGGGGGACAACTCTTTAATTGTGGCTGTCATTCAATGGTATGCTATTGAACAATGTTCAGAGAGGGGGGACAACTCTTTAATTGTGGCTGTCATTCAATGGTATATCATTGAACAATGTTCAAAGAGGGGGGACAACTCTTTAATTGTGGCTGTCATTCAATGGTATACTATTGAACAATGTTCAGAGACGGGGGACAACTCTTTTATTGTGGCTGTCATTCAATGGTATATTATTGAACAATGTTCAAAGAGGGGGACAACTCTTTAATTGTGACTGTCATTCAATGGTATATTATTGAACAATGTTCAAAGAGGGGTTCAACTCTTTAATTGTGGCTGTCATCCATTCAATGGTATATTATTGAACAATGTTCAAAGAGGGGGACAACTCTTTAACTGTGGCTGTCATTCAATGGTATATTAATGAACAATGTTCATAAAGGGGGAAATGTTGTCACTGATTTTCTAGATTACTAAGAAATACTTGAACTGTTTACCATTGACAGAAGTATGGACTTTTTATTTCAAGTAAAAAGATTTTTAAATAATATTAGGTCAATCAACACGAAATATCTATATATACATGATATATAAGTTATAACACTTTGATTTTTTATTCTCTTATAATTTTATTTTGTAGAATGATATTCAAAGTTTTATCCAAACCACTTATTCTAAGAGTTTAATCAATTTAAAATATGTATATAAATAAGTAATTCCAAAAAAAAACAAAAACAAATCTGCATGCTTTTAAACTTTTTTTACTTTTTTTAAATCTGTCAAAAATGGCAATATAATCATCAATATTAAACACTATTAAAGCCATGAAATTGTGTCAAAGGCTAAAGCAAAGCAGTTTAAATTTAAGCCCACTACTAAAAATTTCAAGTTCCAGTTTCAATAAATGTTTTATCTTATGAACTGGGGGCTTGAAGGACAAGCTTCTTGTGACATTTATAAATATCTGGGTTTTTTTTAAGTAGCTATAGAAATATCTTTTTTTCATTTTGAACAATAATTTGCTCAGTTGTTAGGTACAATTTTCGAAGTAAACAAAGCAAACAAGATGATAGATTCCTAAAATTTACAAATGGTCGCATGTTGAGTAAGCAGATATTGTATAGAAAATAAGAAACTTACATGACTGACATATAAGTAACCAAAATCCTGCATCGTCGTAGATGGCGATATTGATTTATAAGGCAATCATATCTGCTATAGGATTTATTCCATTGCTGTCCGTTCCCCAAAAAAATCTAAGTCAACCAATCAATACTGCTGTGTTATTATACTGTATGCTTAATTATAACAATCTGATGCTTGTCACAAAACGTTAATATCAAAAATGTAAATATATCTCCAAAATCGGCAAACAAAAAAAACCTTTAAGAACACACTGTTGCAGAAACAGATGAAGATTCCATTAGTAGAGTTTGTTTTAATCAATTGGCGACAGAAAAATCAATAGACTTAACAGTACCTTCAAATACATCAAATTAAAATCATAATAATTCTGGTGAGATTCAAGCTTCCTTTGTGTTGTCAACCATATTTTCTTTAGTATTTATATGAATAAAAGATGTCTGGTATTAATCAATGACAGCAACCTTACCACACAAATAAACAAGAAGAAATATAGAGATCAACATATGTTCTTCAATAATCAACAGCTGACTGAACAATATGTCAAGTTTTAAATTGTCCCATGTTATTAACAGTCAGTATCATAAGTTTGCAATCATCAAAAAATCCCAAAAAAGAAAAGCACATTTAGATATAACAACCAATCATAAGGTTACTGACATGAGACAGGCACAATGAGATCTCACTAAACATGTTTAACCCCGCCTCATTTTTGCACCTGTCCCAAGTCAGGAACCTCTGGCCTTTGTTAGTCTTGAATGATTTTTTTCAATTTCAGTTCTTTTATATGTTTCAGAGTTTAGTGTGACGTTCATTTCCACTGAACTAGAACACATTTGTGTGTAGAGGCCAGCATGATGATGTTACAGGGTTAAATGTGGATGGGATGAATATGTCAATGAGACATAAGCGCTTAACAATTATTACCATATGATTCTTCATCTTTTTTTCATAAATATTTATTTTTCAAATATACATTACTGTACCAAAAAACTTTTCACTTTCATATTTATAAATATATATATTTAAGCTCTGAAGTTTACATAATTATCCAGAATATGCATGTTAATATTTCACCAGACGTTACATGTATATAGATGTTCTAAAGCATTAAATAAAGAAAAATAACATATTAGTGTTTAATATGTAAATACAGCAATGTACAGGCAAAGTTGGTTGTCACAGACAACAGATGATTACATAAAGTTTGTCAATATTGATTAAATTATTTAGATGAGAAGATTTTTGAATGTATTTTTGTCTGACATGGAAGTCCCAGAGAATATTGATGTAAATCTTGTATACACCGTACCATTTTATAGCAGTAATAAAATGCTTTGCTGAGTGCAGCCTGATACGACCGCAGAGGTCGAACCCTGAACAGTTGGGGCAAATTTAGACACAATATTCAAGCTTGATACTGTCTGAATTTGGATTGTGATCAAGTTTTTGACATAATATAGGTTTCTGACACAAAATAAATGAGGTCAAAGATCTTAAAAATCTATTGAAATTCGAAAAATTTTGAAAAAAAAAAATTTGAACCCCTTCAAAAAATTGGAAAAAAAAATCCCCCCCCCAAAACTTTTTGACCCCCACTTTGGAGCCCCAAAACTTAATTCCATCCTTCCCTTTGTAGTATGGAACCTTGTAGTACAATTTTAGAGAGATCCATACACTTACACACAAGTTATTGTCTGGAAACTACAAAAAATGCTTGTTTTTGGCCCCTTTTTGGCCCCTAATTCCTAAACTGTTGGTACCATTACCCACAAAATCAAATCCAACCTTCCTTTTGTGGTATTGAACCTTGTAAAATTTCAAAGAGATTCATTCACTTAAAACTTAAGTTATTGTCCAGAAACCAAATGTGTCTTTGGACGACGATGACATCATAGCATTATACGAACCCAAAAAAATTTTTGCAGTCGTATAAAAATCACATTATTACATTTGAATTTAGCAAAACTTTGAAAATAATACTTTCCTGTCTACTTTCAAAACTACTATCAAGTGGGTAACATACTTATTTCAATTATGTACTTGAAGTGAGTGACTTTCAAGGCAAACAACTAAGACATATACATGATAAATGAGCTGCGTCAGATAGAAATAGACCTTTAATATGCAAATCAATATCAATACATCTATTAACCTATTACGGGTTGAAAAACTCTATGCAAAGTATGTGACTGTTTGAAAATTGATTTGATACAAGAATCCAAGAATCCTATATAGCTACAAAACAGACCAAAATTCATCTTTTATTTCGTATTTGAATGTCCCAAAATCAATCAAAGTCTTATACATGTAGATATATATGTGCACTTGCATAAGGATGATTTCTATCCAACACAGCTCATATCAGCTCATACATACATTTGTACCATTGTCATCTTTTTAGTATGAAGCATTATTTAGCAAGTATATTTTTATACCTGTACTGTACAACAAACAGCAGCTCATTCTTGTCTGTGCTTTGCCAAGATGCAAGAGTTGGTAAATCAAATTTTTTTGGGGTTGGCAAAATAACTTTTAAGTCAGTTCAGAATCAAACAAAACATTTTTACTTAATATAAATAGTTTCCACTGGTTATTTGTAATGATTCTTTTCAAAATCTTGATTCCAAATTATCTCTGAATAATGCATGAATCTGATTAGATAAAACATGAAATCTTTACCATGTTTACAATCTATTTATAAAAGAAAGCACTTACCATTTTAGATTCCATGGACTCTATCCCTGTTTGTTTAATTCTCCTCCAGTCATTTCAGAGATCCTACAAAGAACCAATCAAAACTACAGACTGTTATGCTCTATACATTTTCTAAGCACTTACTTTAATATCCATGTTAAATACAGTGACATTGTTTTTATTTAATAAAGACAGATAAACATAATGTATACAAGATATTTACCTTTCATCCACGAAATTTGTATCCACGAAAATAAATGAATCCACAGTATGTGTGAGTTGTCAGTCAGCTGTCTGTCCTGTAGGTTAAAGTTTTGGTCTAGGTTATTTACCATGCATGAAGTTGTAGTCTAATCAACTTAAAAATAAGAACACATGCATGTTCATTATGATGTGATTTTTTTAAACATCATCATGATCATGATCATATGCCAAATTAGGGTTTTGACTTAAATTTCACATGTTTTTATAATCAAATTATACCAAATGTTCTGGCCCCAATATGAATGTAAACTGGCTAACTGAACATTAAACACCAATACATCTATCCATCATCCAGTTGGTTCTTTGCCTCTCGTCCAGCTACATGAAACTAAGTCATTCAAGCCAACTATCCTAGTCGGCGCTTTGTCTCTCACCCAGCTACAAGTAACTAAGTAATTCAAGCCAACTACCCTAGTTGATTCTTTGTCTCTAATCCAGCTACATGTAGCTAAGTAATTCAAGCCAACTACCCTAGTAAGTTGGTGCTTTGTCTCTCATCCAGCTACAAGTAGCTAAGTAATTCAGGCCAACTACCCTAGTCGGTGCTTTGCCTCTCATCCAGCTACATTTAGCTAAGTAATTCAAGCCATCTACCCTAGTCTTTGCTTTGTCTCTCATCCAGCTACAAGTAGCTTAGTAATTCAAGCCATCTACCCTAATCTTTCCTTTGCCTCTCATCCAGCTATATGTAGCTAAGTAATTCAAGCCATCTACCCTAGTCTTTGCTTTGTCTCTCATCCAGCTAAAAGTAGCTTAGTAATTCAAGCAATCTGTTCTAGTCTTTCCTTTGCCTCTCATCCAGCTACATGTAGCTAAGTGATTCAAGCCAACTACCCTAGTCTTTGCTTTGCCTCTCATCCAGCTACAAGTAGCTAAGTAATTCAAGCCATCTACCCTAGTCTTTGCTTTGTCTCTCATCCAGCTAAAAGTAGCTTAGTAATTCAAGCCATCTATCCTAGTCTTTCCTTTGCCTCTCATCCAGCTACATGTAGCTAAGTGATTCAAGCCATCTACCCTAGTCTTTGCTTTGTCTCTCATCCAGCTACAAGTAGCTTAGTAATTCAAGCCATCTACCCTAGTCTTTGCTTTGTCTCTCATGTAGCTACAAGTAGCTATGTAATTCAAGCCATCTACCCTAGTCTTTGCTTTGTCTCTCATGTAGCTACAAGTAGCTAAGTAATTCAAGCCATCTACCTTAGTCTTTGCTTTGTCTCTCATCCAGCTACAAGTAGCTTAGTAATTCAAGCCATCTACCTTAGTCTTTGCTTTGTCTCTCATCCAGCTACAAGTAGCTTAGCAATTCAAGCCATCTACCCTAGTCTTTGCTTTGTCTCTCATGTAGTTACAAGTAGCTAAGTAATTCAAGCCATCTACCTTAGTCTTCAGGTCTTTGCTTTGTCTCTCATCCAGCTACAAGTAGCTTAGTAATTAAAGCCATCTACCCTAGTCTTTGCTTTGTCTGTCGTCTAGCTTAAAGTAGCTAAGTAATTCAAGCCATCTACTCTAGATGTTACTTTGTCTCTAATCAAGCTACAAGTAGCTAAGTTATTCAAGCCATCTACCCAAGATGTTTCTTTGTCTCTAATCCAAGCTACAAGTAGCTAAGTAATTCAAGTCATCTACCCGAGATAGTGCTTTGATTTATTGCACCCTTGCAATTGGTGACATAGTTTTTTTTATTACTATAACTAAAACATAGTTTCTCAAATTATACCAATTCATATCATCATACATGAATTAGTAGTTATAAATATAAATAAAAGAAGAATGTGTCTGAGGAAATGAATTTCCCTGCTCAAGCTTTGCAATTTTAAAAAGTTAAAAAGGGGCGTAACTCTAAAAGGTAGTGACTCACTAACCAAATTCCAAATATATCTGCTAGTTTGGGTTCTTTATAGCATTGTGTATGACTTTCATAAAATTTGCATGAGCCAAACTTAAGTTAGAGTGCTGGAACAAAAATGGGACGGACAGACAGATGGAGGGAAAGACAGAAGTCAATGGTAACACTTAATGCTCCTGTCACCTACGGCGGGGCATAAAAATACCCTTCCTCTATCATCAATATCTTTTAAAACAGGAATAATAAGAGAAATTGGGAAAAGTCAATGAGACAAAAATTCAACAAAACAAACAGCTAGGGTTTAAGGGCAAAGGGGCACATCAGTGCTGCATCTTGTCTGAAAAGGTGTTTATAGATCAAACAAGAGT